GCTTTCGAAAGTGACAGGGGCCGCTTTCTCGGAAAGCAAAGGTCATTTTGACGGCGTTGGATCATGGCATCAAAAACAGAATTACGGCTAGCTCCTTTCAAGTAAGAAAATTGGATAAAGAATCATTTGCGCTTGGATTTGAATTTGATTTCCAAAATTTGTGCATATCTAAAGGCGCGCATTTGCGAGCGGAAAATTCGATGCCCTGCCAAAATACATATGCAAGAGAAAATAGCAAGGGAATTATCGAAGGGTGTACTTTTCTGCTGCGGCGCGCGTCTCCCGACGAGAAGCGTGAAATCTAAGTCGTAAGAGTAAAATCACCAACCCAACGTTTAAACACGCGCCAGATTTGAGATTCTTTATCCACGCGTGCTTGTTATTTCTTAAATTGTTTTCGGGCGAGAAAGTCAACAATTTTCTTCGAAACTTTCACTTGTCTTTACAAATCTTTCGAGAGAAACTTGCATTCTATGAAAATAAACAGGAGCTAAGATGTAACTCGCACTTCGTTGAGAAAAACAAAGAAAGTTTTGCGAGTTCAGCGTTTACACTTTTGTCTGGAGTCCATATGATACGTCAATATGAGCTAAGACCGCGGCAAGATTTTTTTGAGTACGAATCAGATGATTCTTGCGAAAATGTTCTTGTTTCGTGTAAAATTGGAACTCACCCACCGCCATTGACTAAAGAGAACGTCGAAAACTGGTTGAAGAATTTTTTTCCGAAAATAAAACGGGAGACATCTAGAAATGATAAGGATAGACTTATTTTATCTATCGGTCGAATGGAGCTTGGAAGAAGATTCATGCAACTTGGAGGCTGGGTCAAACTTTTTGCTAAATCTGGAGAGACCCCAAATGGAAAAGCTCCATCAAAGATAGAAGTTGCGTGGCGAATTCCAGATATGCAGGCAGACTTAAATTTCTATGGGTTTTCTAATTTTGGGAATATGCAATCAGAGATAGACCCCAATGGATTTCAAATTCCGCTTCTCAATAATAATCCAGCCTTGATGGATAAAACCATATACAGATCGGAGTTGAAAGAGGAGCGAGGAAGATGGTTTCTGGATAATTCATTACTGGTGGATGTTTTAGCTGTTGGAGGAGAAGCTTTAGTCGTCAAACAGATATTTGGACAAATTGAAATGGCAGTAAGAGTTCAAGCATTCGATCCAGCTTTATTCACGAATCAAATTTCTTTTGAAGATTTAGATTTTCGATTTCATTTCTCCTCCGGTATGCTTGATTGACCATTAAGTTCAAGAAAGTCATTAAGAGTACACACCATTTTGCGATGAAACTGAAAGCTGGCCAAATACGATCCCTTATCATGATAATATCATCAAACATTTTGTTAATGTCGAAATTTTTTACCGTCTTGATTTTGAATGCGATGATTGCATAGGTTGGATAACAATAATGGAGTTCTGCGATGAAAATTTACGAAAGCGACTCAAGGATGAAGATTTGACCGTACTCGAACGAAAAACTATGTCAAGTAAAATTGGCTTGGCAGAACAATATTTGTTTGCACAAAACATTACGCACCGGGATATAAAGCCAGATAATGTTATGTTAAAAAATGGCGAACCTAAAATAATTGCGGCATAAATTATGGCTCCGAAATGTCTTCAAATTGGGTGATTTTCATGTTCTGCGATTGGAAAACAGCTTGGAGTCTTATTTTCAATCCAATCGACGAGAAAGGGGAAGAGGAGATTTCATCAATTTTAGAAGTAATTATTTGATAAATCCTTATGATTTTCGAAGTTTTAGTCTTCTAATGCACAGTGGCTAAAACGAAAATATGCAACATGGTGGCAATTGAGACAATTTTCTTCAATAGTATCATTAAAAAACGCTTCGCCATCATTGATGCTTGACGATCCAAATCTGACAAAATCTATTGGAATGTCAGATCTTCGTCAAAGCTTAAATAAATATACATGCTCAGACTTCAATTATATAACAAGAAATGTACTTGATCAGAGAGACACCAGTCTCTGCGTTCCAATAACGATAACAACACTTATACGACACGCCATTAAAAACGATCTTGGTGTTAAAGAAAATTTTATGTGGTCATTTGAATATATATTCTCTGCATTGACAATGATTGTTTATCCTCGAAGCTTGGCGGGTCTCAATCTTAACCCGACTGACTTGGAGAAAGATTTTCAACAAAGTGAGATCGATTTACTTCTTAGACGGCTAAAGTTCAAGACATATATCTGTCCAAGTGGCTGGGACATGATAAAATTACTGAAAACCGACTTGGAAGAAACTATTTTCGACTTTGAATCAGGTTTAACATTCGGTTTAAACGTATATAAATAGTTTTGAAGTTTTGCTTCATGAAAATTACAAATTCGAACGTCCACTTACTGTCACAGCGGCTTATCTACGTGATGACAATGATGTCTACTTTCATCAAATGGTTGTTGATAGGATTGAGAACGACGAATACATCGTTCAAAATACCGATTTGAAAACAGATAAAATGACAGTGAAAATACCGCTAAGAAATCCTTATTACGCCAATGATGAAATGGTTTCAAGATCCTACAGTGAAGAAACGGGCGATTTCCGATATATTGGGAAAGATCAAGAATTTATGACTCTGGTTAATGAAAATGTTAGTAGCATGGAAAAAAACAAGTGGTATTTACTCCCTCAAGCTTATACAATTTCTCTTTCCTATACTGAGGAGAAGTTAGAACAACTTCTTAATCATCAACTCCATTTTGGAAATTGAATAAAAATAATCTCATTCTGTGAATAAAAAAAAAACGACACTAAATTCAGCTCAATCCTTGTTTCTGTAATGAAGATTGCAGTCAAATTCTAACAGTGGAATTATCCTATCGATGTATCGTGGCGTTTCGGGATTCCTGAGTTAGGAAAGAGGAATTCCACTGTTGCGTGGAATTTTATCCGCCCGGTCCCATTGCATCGTGGATTTCGTCAAATGCGCCTTCCACTCGTCACGATATTTCCTCACGTGATCAAACAATGGAACCGTCAAGTTCCCAATTCGACAAAGACAGGTTCACAACTAATCGAATATTTTTGTAAACGTCAGCTTCAAAAAATATGCGACGCAAGAAAGCTCAAAAGTTTCGATTTTTCATTTTTTATCAGGTTTTAATTCAATTTTTGACTTTCAAAGGTAACTGCAATTTCAAACGCAATAAAATTTGCGTTGATAATTTTGCAATAAAAGCGTACAAAATCAAGGGAAAACAGTTTCTTTTCATATTCGATAATCAACTTGATTTATGAAATTAAGGGTGGATCCTTTGAAAAAATCGTTTTCTAAAGAGAAAGGGACAGGTTCAGGGAGAATCAAATTAAGATTTAATCTTGCGCATAAACTCTTTGATTTTTATCAGGAATGAACCGAAAGAACCTTGAGTCTCTTCTCAAAAAGAGTATACTGTAAACAGTTCACAAAAGTAGTGAAACCTTGTCAAGTGATTAGATTCTGAGTCCAAAACGTGGGCAATTTGCTAAATCGAAAGAACTTTTTCCGTCTGATAAGGTGACAAGCATCCGTTTGGTGGTGGCAGCTTGTCGGGGCTAAAATACAATTTACGAATTATGGGGCTTCAATTCCACCTGGCACGTTTGACCACACTCGTAAGTCGATTTTACTTCGTCAGAAAATCCACATTTAATCTTGGCAAAATCTGTCATCGTCCAATTTAAAACCCAACTTCTGATGTCTTCTGTCTCTCCCTCTGTATTCCTCTGATCTAATCTTGAGGATAAGCCCCCTTTAGTTGCTGGTAATTGTAGTCTTTTGCTGCTTGTATAATATTTGCGAAATTGGCGCTGCGAAAAAAGGCCCGAAAAGTACAGGGTCGATGTGCACCAACAGGATGTGAGTGTTCCGTAACGAGAGCGAACGGGCCCGCCGATTTTTTCCGAAAAAAAAGAAGCTCAAGCAAAAGGGCACTTCGCAGGATGCACACTCGGATTTCTAAACGTTTATAAGACGCCGGGAGGTTTAGATAACACAAATAAGGGATTTAAAAACATCAGATAAACAAGTACAGTAGAGCAAAATGCACCCAAATAGACGATAATCTCTACATATAACATCGAAGGCTTCGATTCGAAGCTACAATAAGAGAACGATGTGACACCCTTAATTTTTTTGACCGAATAAAATTTTTCGTGAAATTTCTTTCGAGAAGCTAGAAAAGTTCTAGTGAAATCGGCTGTCCACGATCTCAGCTTATTTTTTTCGCAAAAACACGAACCCCATCGCCGGTATTATCTTCTTTTCGAATTGCAATTTGGTAAAGAAGATCATTTCGCGAAGAAACGGTTTCGCAAATAAAATTAACTCTCGCCAGTTCCATCCGCGCGAAATTAGCGGCGTGCGTTTTCTAAACACCCATTTCTCCAGGTGCCGCTCTATTTTGCGGTCTCTGGTTTTTGGCTCTAAGGAGAAAGACAGATTTCTTTTTCGAAAAATTGGTTTCATGACTGTATTCACTCAATTGACGATTTTTACCATTTTTCGAAGACCTCTTCTATGGAAACAACCAATAAAAAGCCTCAAATGGACAAGAAACAAGTCGCTATAATGAGAACACTCTGTAGAATTCTGAAGTGAATGTATCACGTGATAAGTGAAATAGAAGGCATATTGCGCGGCGGTGTGAACGGAGTGAAATAAAAGCGCGAAAATGCCATGCCACATTTTTACGTCACATTTTCCTGAAATGAAAATTTTTCTATCGAGTTTGATGCAACGTTTACTGTAGTGCCACTTATCGGCTCTAGGGTTCTGTATGAAAATTCATGCGCGGAAGAGACAGAATTTTCGTAAAGTCTATTAATTGATCAAGAATCTTGCTTGGAGAAATTCAAGCATACTAATAAAGAGGGCTCATAAAGATGAGAAACGCAAATATCAAGTCAACTAATATTTATACTGTGGCCATTTATATAAGCGTATTTCGCTCCTACTGTCAGTAGAACACGATGAGAAATTTTCTTCTTCTCCCCGTTTTTGCTTCTGCCGCGATTTTACAAGAGACTTGCACCAATTCCACCAAGAAACAGAGCGATTCGGAACCTTATAGTTTTAATTTTTTGATCCTCCTCAACAAATTGCCGAACTCCTTCATAATCTCCCACGATGGGTTGACTCAAACATACCCAACAATTACTGGGCCCTCTAACTCGGCGAAAGAAGTTGCATTTGCCGTGATCAAAAACGAGCTGTACATTTTTGGTGGCAGGGAAGATAACGGAGCCGGTACTAATAAAGTAAATTATCTTAAAATCAATGAGAGAGCCTTAAATTAGTTTATAGATTGTCAAGCTTGTCGACTGCTCCTTTGAAGAATTGTCGGTTCGATCGAATTATTATTATGCCGAAGGTTCTGCAGCGTTGACGATTCAAAACGGCGAAAAAGGTGAAATTTCTCTTCGATTTTCCTTATGCGTTTCTAGCCTTGATTTGCTTTGGCCTTGCCAATCATAGTAACAAATGCGAAGAGTTTGACACAATTCAAGCGACTATAACACACTCATCGCAGTTTGGCCATCGTTATGGCCATCTTGGATACTACAACGGAAAGCCAACAACGGTCAGTGGTGATGGAAGCGAAGTCATTGCTTTTCACAAAGTAGAAAGTCTCTCAGAAAACGGATGGTTGTCATTAGCGGATCATCCTCCAATGTCAGTGTGCCACACTTTGACCGGTTTGGAAAGCGGTGCAATGATCTTAACCGGTGGGTATTACTACACGGATGATTTTATATCTAGAGACTCGAGAGATATCTGGCTATTAAAAGATAATGAATGGACAATCATTGGAAAAACCAAAGAGGTGAAGATATAATTTAATACGTGCTCAGTGTGTAAAAATATTTTTAGAGATGTTCTTATTGCTCATCAATAAGAAATGGACAATTTGTCTATATTGTGTCCGGAAGTGACAAAGATTTTTCGGGAGGGTATCCAATTGAGCGAATCGAAATCAATGACGATGTGTTCGTTAGCTCAGAAGTCATCGGTCACCATTCTACCTACAGCTTAAACCCGGTTCTTTACGCGACAGACTCCGATTTTTGCGTTCTTGAGCCAACTACTGACCCAGTTACCATCAAAACTACGAGTGCAACAATACTTGAATCAACAACTGACGAACCAATCACGATGACAATTGACACCACAACAAGTTCAAGCTCAAAAACAAGAAGCAAGTTCTTGCTGTCAACCATCGCTTTTATCTTTTCTTTCTTCTGATCGAATTAACAATAAAAATAGGACTAAAGAATCTGTTGATTGCGATTTCCTCTGTTTGTTTTTTTTTCTAACTGAGGATCTCTTTCTCAAGCAAAGTTACGGAACTTGTCATCAAACATTCCTTCAGTGGCAGCGTGCACCTTCTGCCACAGTGGAGATTGAAAAAAGGGAATGGCGGATGGCAGTCGTGTTTGTCGGATGTGTCGAACACGACATCTCCTCGAACGGTTGGAATCTGTGTCGCTTGCGCAACTGCGCAGATTTACTTTTTCTCGCCTTCCTTCTTTTCCCAAAAACACGACTTCTAAAATCCTGTCTTATCACTCCAAAAACTGATCACGTGGCGACACTCGCGAAAAAAAATGAAATGTTGTAGAAGTAGACTGCTCGTACCGGCTCGTGTCAGGGAAGAAATCACACCTTGTTCGGAGCCATGGGAAAATGTCGTTTTATGAACTTTTTAGAGCATATATTATACAGTTATTTCTTCCGTGGTTGGGGGTATACTCGTCGTTATTGGCGAATTGAAGTTTAGAATCGTCCGAAAATTTGAGGGGAAAAGGTGACATGTGTGGCCGCTCGAGTCAAGACTCTAATGTCTTCCACGACGTTTGCATTCGTCGTGCGGCGTGCTCGGGTCGCTCAAGCCGTAATGGCCAGCTCCATCTGCGTTTCCCCTGTTTTCCAAAGTCCGAAAAAAGGCTTCTTCTAGCTCTTTTTGAAAGAAAGATGATACTGAAATTTCGAGCCAATCATAAGCCTTCATGTTCCTTTTCAGCCAATCAAAAGCCATTGCTTCGACCCACCCTATCAATTAACCCTTACCCTTCCCCAAAAATTTTCGGCCTCAATTTTCATTTGAGCTTCGTAATTGTAAGTACTGTGACTCCGCTGTAGTCGAGCATCTGATGCAAGAAAAGCTGCAGAGAAGACTAAAAATAACCGCAATGGAGCGCTTGTGCCAAATTCAATACATTATTCTCGGGGCGCGATTTCCCAACCCTTCGAACGTTGTTCTAATTGCATTGAAAGAATGTGAAAATAAAAGGGCGCGACTTCCCTCAATACAAGAGTCAGTTATGAAAAACGCCGGCGAGGGCATCTCCGCTCAAGAAAATTGAATTGAAATGGAACTTTTTAAAAATATTGCTCAACGGAAATTCCGTGACTTCAAAAAGGGAACAACGGAACAGCAAAAAATAAATTGTTTTTACTTGTAAAGCAAATTTCACTTATAATAAATAATCGAAATTAAAAAAAAAGTCAAGTTAAAAATTTTGGGAATGTCAGCTTCGAAATTGCAAATTTTGGTTTTCTGAGACAAAAATTTTAAGTTCCTTTCTGGTAGAATAAATAGGGTCAAATGAAATAGGGGTCTATTTTTTGACAAACCTGTCAAGAAATAGGCAACAGAAAGCTCCTATTGAAAGGAATGTGGCATTTTTTGCGGTTATTTAACGAAGAGGCAATGTAGAATTTCGTGAGTTCCACGAAAATTCGCGCCTGGAACTGATTCGCGCATCAAGGGTGTTCTAAATTGCGCCAATAATCGCCGGAATGTTCGAATATCCGTCAGCTTCGAATCTGATTCAGCAGCGCTAGAATCGTTCAAAAGCTGAGTGAAATTTTAGCAGCCGGATTCTTGTGGCAACATCAGACGGGATTAGACGGGGCTCAGCTGGGAAAAGTGTGCACTTGAGAATTTCGAATCGGAATTTTTAAAAACTCGCGAAATGCTAATGTTTCCAGGACAGCTGATTTTGTGAACGATTTTTTTTCCTTTGCGATCATCAATGGTTTTTAGATAAAATCTGACTTTTTGACGAGTTGATCCCGGTTTAAGAAAATCTCGTCAAGTGTTGAACTGAACGGAATTCAACGTGGCTTCGTTCCGTTCGCAGGAAAACTAATGGTTATATTTGAAGGAATTTGGAAAATCATCACAACGGGCGCACACGATAAAAAGCGCGCTAGAAATATTTACACACGAATACGACTGCTTCTTGTTCTCGACGCTCTTTTCACTGTTAAAAAGAAGAGTTGGACTTTGACTGCAGTAATTGTTAAAAAGATTAAGGCGCTTTCTTTGCGCGTAAATTGGCGGTGCAAACGACCGGTACAGCATTCTGAAAAATGCAGATTGTCCTGCTGACAAGCCACAAGGTGGCAGATAAGGAAATATTTCAAAACTCTAAGACCTCAGGAATCTGCCTCTTTGCCAATTTAATGCCAATTTACATGATCATTACTACCTATTATGAGAGTGAGAAATTGCTTCAAATTAATTCTTATTTTCTTGCAGGACGGTGATTTACCATCAAACCAAAATAATAAGCAGTTTACTCGAAAATGTCTGGTCGAATGGCTTTGACGAGAGCCTTGGCTTCTTCCTTGTCGAGTTCTCCGGAGTTGTCAGCGTCGAACTTTTTGAAGTACTCTTCGATTTGAGCATCAGTGTAATCCAAGCCGAGCTCTTTCACAAGCGCCTTTGCTTCGGCAAGATCTTAAATATTGCTAGGTTCTCAAATAAATAAGGGTGTCACTAGCTTATCTCTTAGGGGAACAATCATCTTGAGATATTTAACTGCAAAAACTTACCAATAGTTCCGGATCCATCGGTATCTCCCTTGGCAAAAGCTTTTTCAAATCGTTCAGAACCCATTTTTTCTACCGAGAATAATTCACTCTGTCAAATGGGGAAAAAACTTTCGATTTTATGCAGCAGATTGATATTTGCAATCCTGATAAGTAACCGCCGAAGTTATTTGAGTCAGTCGAGATAGAGCTGTATTGAAAATTTGCCGAGTAAATTCTGATTTTTGGCTTATCGAGTTTTAAAAAATCTGCATTTTTGTTCAGCAGTAAATTTTGAAGATACCGATTCAGAGATTTATAAATGTCATCTTGGCTGCCTTGTTTATGTGATTGGCGGGTAAATGTTATTTCTAGCGGGATCGGAGACAAGAGTAGCTGCTCGAGTGTTGGGTCACTTGGTAAGGGCTCTTGAATACAAACCAGACGCCATCTTCAAACCCTTCCACAGTGCAACAAATATATTTTGCAATCATTGCCGGTCGAACGAGTTTCCGGCTATTTAAAACCATAATTTAGTACTATTAAAAGTAAAAGGCAACAAAATGAATATCTACAGCGACTCTTCAATATAACGAAATCTGAATTCGGGTCTCTGATTGGCCGATAATCTATCAAAGGCTCGACTTGAAAATAATATCGTCAATATTCAGTATGTCTTTTAAGAAGTCATTTGCTGTCATTGGAAAATTTGTCCTCTAAAAATTGAGCATAGAGCGGCAGTCTAATGAACCACATTCTCCAATAGCGCTTGGAACATGGGGCCGTAGAATTATGAAACAGAGCGCGTGAAATGAAAGATTTAATTTTCGACTTGCGCAAGAAGAAGAAAACCCCCGGTTCATTCAGTTTTTCCAACGTTAATTTCACACTGCGCGTTTTTCCGAAATTCAAAAGAAGCTCAATTGAAAGCAGTGTTTATTGAAGAAGACTGTTTAATCAGGTGTTTATGAATGGATACGTATTTCCTCCAAAAACGCCAGATCTCTTTTCTGACTTTATCTCTTTCGGCTGTGATAGCGTCAGTTGCCGGCCACAAATTGGCCGCTTTAAGTGACGTGGTTCCACCGAGCTACTCAAGCTACTAAATAAAATCCAGCTTTTCTTCGAGCTTCAAGCTTCTTGAAAGATTTATTTCTGCGGCGTAGACTCTTGATTTGGACAACTTATAACATCATTATAAATAAATTTCAGGCTCGGTCATGAAAATCAGTTTGAACATTGAAAATAAATTTGCAGTACTGAGAGTGAAGAACAGAAAAATTGCCTAGTATCTCTATTATTAATCGACGATTAAGGACCCCCCCATCAAGATGAAAAAAGTCAAAATTTTCAAAATTTTTTTGCTTTTTTGGGTAGTTTTAACCACGAGGAACAACTTTTGTTCAGAAAATTTTTTTGATCTTATAGAAAATTTTGGCAGAAATTGACTTCAAAAATTGAATATTAACATTTTACATTTCATAAAAATCTTTAGTAAGCTATTTTTAATGGTAATTAAGGGTATACCAACCAAAAAAAACTATTTCTATCATAAACACGAGTATAAAAACTTAATTCAGGGCAATTTAGGCAATGATTACTAAAAATGTAAATCTGGAAATTCGACTAACATTCGACTTATAAAATTTTAAAGGGGCTGTCCTCCTTAAGCTCGTAGACAAAAAACCCTCAAAAAGCAAACGGTCGTAGCTTAGGGCCTTAACTTTACCATGAAAAAAAATTAAGGGTATACCCCAACGAAAACCCCGAAAAAAACGTTCACTAAGCAACTTTACCTTTAACGGCCTGTATAACCTTAAATTTGGCATCGAGAGATCATCTAAAGGGGAACGGTTGCAGTAGAGGGTTCGATCTAAAGGATGCAATTAAAATAAAGGGTCTAGCTAAGATAGTTTTGGAGAAAAACTTTCACTAAGATGCCCTATTTTCGCGATTCTTGATGGGGGGGTCCTTAAGAAATGATTTTTTATAAATTTCAGAGCGTTATTCTTGAATTTTAGCACGTTCAGTGATTAAAAGAGTGCATATAGCTTCGGAATTAAGCCGGCCTTGAATCACCAGCGCCGCCCTAGCGGAAAAGTAGCGCCGCTTATTCCCGCAAAGGGGTGGCGCGCGAGGTCTATTTCTCAGTTTTCACGATTTTTCCGCTTTGTCTCTTACCAAGCGCGTTTCCCGCTCAAGTTCACTTAATTTTCTAACTTTTCAATTTTTGGCGTCACAATTTTTTTCGTGTGCCCTAATACTAGGGAGTGCCCAAAGAAGAGCCACTCCACACAGAGATATTTTTGCTGAAGCCTCAAAGAGAAAACGAAGAAAAGATCAACCCCGGAAAATCTGAAAGAGAAAACTAGAAACGGGGTTTTAAGGAGCGAAAAAATACAAGGAACGTATTCAAAGAAACTTATTTTTTTATTATTTTTTTCATCAATAACTTTGACGTCAATTTTATCTTTGATTTTATAAATTTTTAGATAAAACCAAACTAAGCCATGCTTCAAAATTATTCATATAACTTTCCTATAAAAAAGCATTCAGAAAGATAATTGACTGTAGAAATAATCTCTCAAGCAAAGCGGCGGAGATTATTTTTTTTTTGCAAAATATTTTCGATTATTTTGTTTATGGAAATTATCAACTAAAGAAAAAAAGGGCGCTTGTTATGTTTAGATGATTATATATCGAACTTACAAGCAAACAATTATTTGTTAAAATTTAAATTTTGTCTGTAATACCGTCATTTTTATACCAATTGCTATTTCGAACGTTTCTTGCTCGTTTATCTCCTAGTATGACATTTTTGATTAGTATCACTTTTCTGCTTGAACTTTGCTGTTAGATGCAAACTCTTGCGATAGACTAACACTTCCAAGGGCTTTTTTGAAGTAAAAAAAGCTTAAAAAACAAAAAGTGAGAATCCAAATAATAATTTCAATTCCATCAAAATTTATCTGATTGTTAAGATCGTTAACGCTGAGGGTTCTGGTTCATAAATTTCTTAAATTATTTTTATTCTGGCCTTTCCTTTATCATAGCCCTAGCCAAACCCTTAAGCTAAAGTAGAGCCAACATAGACAAAAACAGATTTCTCTGCTGTCATCCTTATACCAAATTAGAGTAATATTCATGCTTCAAAAAATTAACAAAGAGAATTATATTGATACTTCCAATCACAAATTAAGTTCTATGTATCTACTCATTTCGTATCAATCAAAAGAAAAGAAACCAATTTCTCTTTATTCTTTAGTAAAGACAGTTGTTCTAGATAAATTCTTACATCTTTGTCTGTTGAAAACATAGCGTGATTGAATGCTTCTTTGATTTTAAATGAGGCAGAAAATGCTCAGTTTATTACAGCCGCAGTCCAAATCAAGGGAATTTTTTCGGTCCCAAATTTTCGAAAGAAAGTCCCTAAAATTGGTTCATTTTAACATAGAAAACTTACAAATCGGGGCGCAGATTTTCGGCATTTCGAGCCAAAAAGTCCCTTATCTTGGTGTCCCTTAATTTGGACTCCGGCTGTAATAGATTTCGGCAGAACATTTTTGGTTTATAACCATCTTCAGTGCTTGGTGAAGTAAAACTACTAAACTTTAGACTTAGAGTTTCTTTGTCTGCCGAAATCTACTTAAAATTCTAACATTTATCACCAAATTGTTATTCAGAAACTCAACAGGAAAAATCTTTACCATTCGTGTATTTAAACAAAGCCGTTAAGTAAAATCTAGGATTAAAATAAGCAGAAAATTCTATTATATTTTACTTAAAATGATTATCGAATCATCATATCTTATCAGTCCAAATCAACATCAATATCATTTTGTACCAATCCGTATTTCGTTTGCGTAAAATTTTCGCTAAAGCTACTCAGAGGGCGCTCGTGACGGTCTGTGATGGCGCAAATGAGTCAAAAAAGGCAAATTCGATTTTTAAAATGTTATTCTTCAAATCTCTCATGATTTTTTTTTGTTCTCGGATACATTTAACAGCTTATAAAATAATAACACAGCCTTCTCTTAAAACAACTTCAGATCTTATTAAATAGTTTAGAAAATTCAGAAATTTTCGCCAAAATATTAAGCCCGTTTTCCTCGAAAATAAAAGGCGAAAACTTTGACTGTTGGGGAAAACAAATATCGGTTTACACATTGGCCGACTCATACGGCTTGACTTGAAATTATTTTTCTAAGTTCTAACCGTTGCAAGGATGAAATTTTTATGTTTTTTGACTCACGCTTCGTTTTAACCTTTTTTCATGGAAATGCTTTGTTTCAATCTATCGGAAAATAAGTTAGCTTCCTGATGCAAACTTCAATTTTTCGAGGGGAAAATCGGACTTGTCAGAAAATTCAAGTTTATTGAAGCCGGCTCTTTCGTAGAAAGTCGCTTTGTGCTCACTCGTGGGTCAATATCCGTGCAAGGCTAAAGGATCCTCCCATCGACGTACGTGATTCTTCCAAAATAATCTGAAAAAACTTTTGAAATATAATTCGCTTGAATATGTTTTTGACACCAAACTTTTGATCGAAGCTTTTACATAATAATTTTTTTAAATTATTTAATTTCGTTGGTTGGCAACTGTAGACGGAGTAATAAATTTCTGAAAAATATATTTGGTTAAAATTTATTTCAAGCTTATAACGGATTTGAACGTTTTTAAAAAAATGCCAAAATGGCTATTATGCGCGGTCGGAGTTTTAATATGGCACCACAGCTCCTTATGCGGACGAGAAATTTTTTTCTGGGTCTGCAACAGGACTTAAGACACTGTTTCTACCCTTCAACCTCAGCTCAAATTTCATTGAGGGCTGTTCATAAATACCCGAAACCGCAAAAAGCGACTACAACCCCCTTAATGTAAAATTCTGATACATTTTTCGTGCAGACCCTATGCGCCATACATCCTTAAATTCTCCCTTTTAAATTGCATTTTTCACGAAGAATGCTTCTTTTGAAAATTCCGATAAGGTGTTTCCTTAGTTCAGACAGTTATGAGCAATAACACAAGTATTTAAGTGTCTTTTGATATAATATGTATTAAAAAAGCTCAAAGGAATAATCTCAAAGCTAAATGATGCTTTCTTTTAATTCAGTCTTCCGGAACAACTATTGATCGAAGTTGGATCATCACCGAATATTTGAGGTGTCCGTAATGTTAGCTCTTAAATGAGGGCATTTCAATTCGTTCTTATTATACTATAACTCATTGTGATTTATGTTACTTATTAAAAATCTTGTCTCGCCTTATAACTTTCCCGTTCATGGTCATTTTCTGATGGGTACTTGTTGAACGGACCAATGGAATTGTAAAAATCATTGGGGTTTTTCTCTGAATATAAATATATCAATAATAACTTAAAAACTTTAAGATTTCTTAATCAGTAAATTCTGTTTTCACACACAATGTTTCATCTGTTTTTCTGGATTCCTCCGCATTCTTGAAAACCTCAAATATCGCAACAATTCTACCAATTATTTCACAAAACAGCCGCCCTTTCAATCCCCCTCTTTGGGCCGTATAGTATTTATAAATAACATAAAAGAATCCTTTTTATAAAATTCAATTTCACCGTAAGTTATCTTCCTGATTGAAAAATGCTATCTTTGTAAGAACGCCCGAATTATCGGTGATGGGCGGCGACGTTCTGCCAGAACGGCGTTCTGCAAATACAGAACGGTGTTCTGCAAATGCAGAATGGCGTTCTGTATAAGGATTTTCTTTACGATGTTACTTGATTCTTATCAGTTTTAACGCATTCAGCTTAGCTTAAAGAGTAACTCCTGATTTAAGAAATTCTGGGATTTTCTTTAAGACAGGCGCGAAGCACATATATTTATTTAAGTGCAGAACGCCGTTCTGTATTTACAGAACGCGATTCTGCAATTGCAGAACGTCGTTCTGCTGCAGAAAGTGGCCGCCCTACACCCCGATTCATCCCTATAAAGTCGCTATAAAGCCGATTCAACCCTAACCTGAGAGTGGTCGATTCTGGTCAACTCTGAGATTCTTATTTTCGCCCATCTTCGGACTCTTCAGGTTATCTGGAAGAAAACATTCCTCATAGATTATTTAGCTATCTCGGGGAAATTGTGACTGTAAAACAAGAGAATAAATGCATTTTGTTGGAGAATCAGATGTGTTGAACTTTCATATACTGGCCTTTATAATACTGGCAAATGATACATTTTTAGAAAGCTCAAACTCGGGGAATTTATGAAGCGTAGGGCTTGTGGCGTCCGGGTTATGCCCGCAGGACAATTTATCGGAACGAAGAGTCGAAAACCGGTACCTCAGGTTATCGAGAAATTATCAAAAAAAAATTTCTGTCATTTTTTAGATAAGGGTCTTGTGAACCAAAAAATATTTAGAATTTTGACGAACGAAAAGCAATTTTCTGCGTTTTTGAGCTTTCAAACGGGCTTTTTTCCCTTTTTTGGCCGTGATATCAATTTTGAGACATCCAAGAATAACTTTTCCCTTAGCCTATCGTAAAATACTTCTGTTATTCATTTAATATAGAAAAGATATTCATTCGATGCTACAATGGTAAACTCTGAAGTTTATAAGTCCAGAGTCAAAGAGCTTTGCTTTGGGCCGAATCGACCACTCTAGTCTCATGGGTCGTAGTCATGGGTACCAGTAGAGTTCTCTTCAATATATTTCAAAGTTTGACATAACCATTTTTCATTACCAATTTATTTAGCACGCGACGAACTCATTGGGTTGGAGGGCTCAAATTTTTTGTCGAAAAAATTCTGGAAATTTGGTTCACTATGAAGTGTGCCTTTTGTTTTTGAAATCTTTTGAAAAAAGTGGGAAAAATAGACCGGAGATTCGGGTCCGAAAACTTGCCAATCAACTATTTTCTATTTTTCTTCTCTTGCAATATTTTACATATTCACGTTTGAACCAAAACCTTCCCGTTCTTTTTTCAACTCAATGTTATTCCAACAATCAACCCAACAATTTTTTTTTCAAAATATCATGTCTAGTACAAATATAAAAATATTTTGCATGCTATTTTTGCGCTACTGCTATCGTATTTCCTTCTTAATTTTTTTATTGAAAACTCCTGTTCGCTTATTGTTATCGTTTTATTTTTTTCAATCATATTCGAAAGGAGGCGGTGGTGGAGAATAAGAATGATTTTTTCAAAACTTTCTCTATTTCTTTTCAAAGATCGATACCCTTTGACGAGTTGGTAAAAAATAATTTTAAAAGCGTGTGTGAACGATAATTTACCAATGAACAAACCCTTAATAAGGGATCTGAAATAGCATTAACAAATGCGGAATTGCAAAACTTCCATCCAAGACTGTTTTTGATTTTTACGCAGTAACTAAATGGCTATTTTCGCCCTTATAGTTTGTACACAGATTAACAAGCTCAGACCAGATGGTGGCGCTCTTTGAAAATATAAATAAAGTTACCAATCAGAAAGTTTCTGACGTTGTCCGCTGTGAGGCGCTGTTTTTTTTACAAGCGAATCAAAAGCCAATTTTCTTTTCAATGAAAGTTTTGAATACCATCAAAAGTTTTTTTATTTTTCTCAGCGATTGATTTATTTTCAACGACAAAAAGAAATCAACAACAGAAGAAAACAGAAAAAACGAAACTGAACGCGATGCTGGTGTTAGCCAGTCTTCTGGCGCTTTGCGCCGCAGCTCCGGCGGACTCGACATGTCCACAGATAAATCAGCGTGATCAAGACTTGGAAATACTGCCGAAGTATCCCTTGGATCCTGAAAAATTTATCACACCTATTTATATCTGGGGACCTTCTTCCCAACTACAAGTAAAGACAATAGTTCTTCTAAAAAATCTTCAGTTACTTCTCCGAATAAGGATTATCATCATCTTTCTTTTGATTGTGGGTTTAGTTACATATACTTATTCTTTCTATACTATCTTTACTATCATAGTATCTAAAGATCGCGATCCTAGAACTGACAAATTTGGACTTTCAAGTCAAAGTTTCAAGGAAAATCTTGAGTGTTTGACAAAGACGATGAAAACTTATTCTGAGAAGTCAATATTTCATTTTTTTTCTTCAAAAACCATAAAATTCGTGAATAGGGATTGCGAGAAGCGATTGGCGTGGCAATCCGTCTCAACCGAACCCTTCTTCTTCCTCCCTTTTTGACTCACTCGTCCGACCCGCTCGGCAACGACCAACCAGTTCCAACCGACATTCGCCTTGACATTCCCAAACTGCGCAAACTCGTCTCCATCGCCTTCACCGACGACTTGAGATGTCTCCAGTCAGATGCTGTGTTCCTCGCCCGCGGAATATACAACAAGCCTACTGATCCAGCTGTCATGGTTGAACGTGTAAAGCGAATTGAAAATTTTGAGAAGGCGGCGCACATGAAGGTTTTACGAAGAACTGACGATGATGAGGTAAGCTTTATTTTTCATAAAATAAAAATCGGAAAACGATTAATTTAAAATTATCTTCCTTTTGCAATTTTTCCTTATTGAATAAAAAAGCACTTTAGTAGACTAATTATCATTTTTAGCTCGACGAAAATGCACCTTTCTTAGATACTGCAATTCCCGTTACTCGATCTCCGAAGGTTTCCGGCGCTGGAGTTCAACTTAGGAACGTTTTTACAATTCACTGAAAAACGAAAAATCACAATTTTTTTAACGAAAAATACTGTCCAAAGCACGCGTATTTCAGGAAATACTGAATTTAAAAAGCTGCCAAGGGCTTTAGAACATTTCCAATTCTTGGTTTATTGAGTTATTTCAACCCCGCGTAACACGTTTGTAATAACTCTTTCCAAAAAAAACGAGAGCATTGTCCCTTTAACCCAAGTCACTAGCTTTATGAGCACTTGGAAATTGGAAGCTTTGGGTTTTGAAACAGCTTCCCTTACTAAGACTAAAAATATAAGCGGAATACTTACAAAACAGTAGCCCATTGGCTCTGCTCAAAAATTAAAGATTGATATTATTCCTATTGATAAATCAACATTGTAAAACGCCTAAAAAGCTACCGTTCTGACTTGGTTCAAAGTCTGTACAACTCAACTGAGCCCTGCGCCGCCTGGCTGTTCCCGTACAACACTTACAAATACCCAGTTGTTTGGTCTGCAAAAGACTCGCCGCTCACATCGGGGGAGCAGTTCTTCTACCAGGTAAAAGCGCGTTACATAACCATGCCCGATGGGTGGGATAATCCCCTAGGAGATCCCGACTTATCAAGCTAGCCAGATAACCGCTCCGAGCTAAGCTGAAATTTTGCAAACACCCGCAAGATTTCCCTTCTTTTTCTTGAGTAACCGGTTCGAAAACAAACAAACTGTATTTCAAGGATTAGAATCTATCCTTTGCAAATCTCCAAAAAATGAAATATCTGGAAAGACGGTCATAGATCCTAATTGGCTTTATTAAATATTTCTAAATCTTAACTGTCGATTTCCGTAGCTTTAACGGCCGCGTGTCGAGGATATCCGAGGTTTACTCTTATCCCGTGTTTTGTTTTTGCAAAATTGACATTAAAACGAGCAGTGGAAAAGGCAGTTTTACTGTAATAAAATCGCGTTTGCTATCTAAGAACACGTCTTTACAAAGTAGTCCTATTAAAAGCTCTATTGCCCCTAAGATAATGCGTAAAGTAAATAAGGTCTCTTTACTGAATTTACTGACACAACAGACCAATCATTTTATAATTATTTAATCTCAAAACATAAAAAGCAGTGTTTGATTGTTGATGATTATGCTACTTATAATTGCTGAGAGCAACTTTTACCGGAATAAAACGTCATCGAGAGGTCAAGATTTATAAAAATATTCAATTTATAATACGAATTTCTTTTTTTATGATATTTTGGCGCCTAAATAAGGGTGTCAACATTGCTTTGACTTCCATAAGGCTATGTAACAGAAACAGTTAAACTAACTCTTTTTCTCAGATTGTTGGACACACTCGCAAGCCAGAGTACATTCGCGAAATCGCAACAAAGTTCCAGCAGAAGTTCATCAATGGACCCTACATTGCATTTCATTACCGATACGATGCTGGAGAATGGTCAAGCGTTTGCTCAAAGCCCCAACAAGGCAGAAAGGGAGAGGCAAGTTCCATTCTTATAATTTATCAGAATTAATGTTATCTGCAATAACATCGTTCGAATACATATTGTTAGCCAATCAAAATGCTTGATTTTAACTTCAAGCCAATCAAAAGGCTTGTAAGAGGCTTGTTGCGAATCAGCCATAACCTGTTTTACCGAGATTTTCTTTCTTTCATTATTGATAAAAAATTTTTCAATAACTCAAATTCATTTTTTCTCAAATTAAAACAACTCTGAATTACAGGTTTGTACTGTGTTGGAGAAGACTGGATCAAAAGGACTTGCACTTGCTCTCGCCCGATTTATTCTCCAAACCAATGCCTTTTTAACTGGAGCTACTCAAAAACACTCAGGTACTTTTGACTTGATTCTTAATAACTACCGGAGGCTTTCGAAATCTTTCTGGTACCGAACACGCGTTCTTCTTCGCGTTCTATAGAATCAGCTTGAAACTCGAGCCGCGAAAATATCTCTTTCGTCGTGTTTCTTTGCGATCCCCGGGAGTAAGTACTTAGCTGGAGGATTAGGCCCACCTACTTGGGAATTTGGATAACGCCAGGGATATCGCTCGGGATAAAACACAAATCCAAGTCCAATGCCTTCAGATTAGATATTCACTTTTCTTCGAGGATCACGGGACTTTTAGCGTACGTACTTTCTCCCGAGTAATTATCGTATCGTAACCCGAGCGAAAACTCTGTCTGTTCGAAAATTCAAAATGGATATGAGCATGAAATTAAATGGGGCAAATTGATATGGATATGTGCCCAAACGGGTCAAAATGCAAAGTCTGTCAAAAAAGGGAAACCGCTATTCTGGTCAGGACACGACATTCTGACGTTTCTTTGATTTTTTCTGTTTCGATTTTATCTAATTATTGAACGTGGCCGTTTTTGGCCTGTATGTTAATTGATTGTTAATATTATTTTAGCACTTTACGTCTCGACTCCTCCAAGCGAAGCGGAAAAGATGAGGAGTATCGTTCTTTCTGCAAAGAGTATTTTGGAAAACGAAGGCTGGTCGCTTGATGTCGTCACAACTACTGATACACAAGAGTTCTTGGATGAAAATTATGGCGATTGCGAGATGATGCAATACAAGGAGGGTTTTTCAAAAAGCTTCGAATTGACAAAAATGTCCAGAAATATTAAAAGTAGTCAAAAATGACCGAATGTACATTTTAATACCAATGATTCTCTGAGGGTTAGATAAGAAGCAAAAGCACTGTAAACCCTAAAAAAGTCGGAAGTCCTGAGCCTTGTTGAGCAAGAGCTCACTTACAGGGGCGATTATTTCATTTTTTCGGAGCTTTCCGGATGGTCGGCTAATGTCCGAAAGGTTTGAATCGACGACCAAACTCACTATGTCATTGATTTTTTCACCATCCTTATTTTTTAAAGGAGCGCATCATGGAGGACAAATACTTCTACGAGATGTCAGTCATCAAACTCATTGAAGATTTCGGGCCATTCAGGTAAAAATATGTCGATATACCCTTAAATTTACCATAGGGAGAAAAAAATTCCTTCTCTCACTCTTTAAGATTTTACAAATTATAAAATAAATATTCAGCTCGAATTTCACGACGAGCACAAGTCTACGAACATCCAGCTCAACGCTCCGCTAGATGGCGCAATTTGCTGCATCTCAAGACTCTAAGCTCAAACTCCACGATTTTTGTAAATATTTTTAAAAGTGGTAAAACCGGCGAAATTAAGTATAAATCAAAAAATTGGTCGAAACTCAACCGAAGAAAAAAAAAGAACCGCCAAACTCCTGCCTGTAACCTGCAACCAAGCCAGTTCAAAAACCTTTGATTGGTCTTCAATACGAAAATCCAACAAAAGAAGAAATTCTCAGCTGCTGCCGAATAATTCGAGCGCGCCGAATATCGAAAATTTCGACAACTTCCAAAATTTTTTTTCCAAAATTCTGAGCAACTATACGTATTTCAAACTCGACTTTTCAAATCTCAAAATTGTAAAAAACATAAAAAATTATGATTTTTACGGCAACACTATTTTCTTTACGCTAAGGGTATCTCCTCGAAATTTTATTGAGCAGAAATCCTTATCACAATATTTTCGAACTTATCAATTAACCAATTAATTTGTTTTCTGTCAGTTATTCTATCGTATTCATAGTTTAAATTCTTACACTGGCGTTTCCCGATAACGAATATTTTCATCCGTCAATTTGATTGGTCGAGCCAATCGGCCAATCAAGTCGATCGATGAAAATATATTTTATCTTTAGATTCAGATGTAGATTGAAATTTAAACATAAAATTATGATAGATTTTAAGATAAACAAATCTAATTCAATAGTCATCAATCAAAGTATCGCTCAAAAAAAAAACTTTCAATTTTTATATTCTCAAACAACCTGCTTCTGGGGGCATTAATAATTTTGCCCGACAACCAGGCCATATAAACGCGCCTGAGCACGTTATTTTCATTGTCCAGAAATGAATTCTGGTCAATTCAAAAAAGACCAAAAAATGACAAAATAACCACTTTTCAGCTTTTTAGTTTTCTTTTTCTAGATTTTGCTCAAGTACAAGCAGAAGAGGATGACGACGGAGATAGTACATTTTTAACTATTCTTGAAGTAATAATTAATTTAGATTGGTCAAAATAGCCACTTTTCCCTTTTTGCCCATATTCGGGGATCAAGGGAAAAGAGGCTGTTTTGACCAATAAAAATAAATAAATTATTCCCACTAACTAAATTATTCTACTAAAATATTTAATTTATAAAATTTTTTAGAATATTTTGAAACTAGCGGTTTAATTGAGTTCAGCCTTTTAAACCTTTAGGATTTAACCAATTAACCGTGATCGCGTGATCATTCAATCTCCTGCTCAACAACGAAGTACTGCTGCAGCACTTTACGAAGAAAGTGAAGATAATAAAAAACTGAAATTCCAACCTGTAAATACTGATTTAATCTTGCGAAAAAACGACTCCTCAAAATTTTATTTCCATCAAATCTAGGCTGGATAAATAACTATGATTCTTTGAAAAATATTTTTCAATTTTTCATTTCTAAGGACCCCCTTTCCGTCATTTTTGTTTTAGAAAATAACGGCAGGGTGCTCCTTAGCGAGGAAAATTGAAATTATTTTATGATGGAATTATTTTTTGAAGATGTTGTTTTTTGATCAAGAAAAAGGCAAAAATTCCTACCTGTAAATTTTCAAGTTTCTCCGATTATGTAACAGTTTAATGAGTTTTTTGATTTACTACTGTCAGCCTCAAGCAAGTAGATTTCGCTTTTATTGAAAAACTAGTTGGTTGAGACTTATGGAATAAACTAAGCTTGTATAACTTCTTATCAAAACAAAAATTCTCTTGTGTCATTCTTTCTAGCAGGCAAAGCCCCATGCAGGTTTCTGATTGGCTGAAATTCTCCAATCTATAGAATGAAGGAAGTCTTCATACATTTTTTAAATTTATCAATTTCAAGCCTTTAATTAAGTCAAATAGACCAAGACTCAACGTAAAAATCAAAGTCAAAGTGTCACAGATTTGAGTTGTCGAATTCTTATAGTCGCAACAAAGCCTCAACGTTTTCTCCTTTGCGATAATTAGACCTTGGCAGTGGGACTACCGTCGCGATAAGGCCAATTTCGTCCTTATCGGTAACACGTAGTCTTTATCCGAGAAAGGATTTTCTCGCGACGCAGTTGTGAATTTCCTTCATTTTTAGTAGCCTCAGAAATCTGTGTTGAAACCTGAGTCAGGGTCCGGAAAAAGCTTCAACGAAAAAAAGCTCTGCCAGGACCCTGACTCAGGTTTTCTACACAGGTAGTCTAGTCCAGCCCTTTTTTAGCCTTCCATTTCGCCGTGGCGCCCCGTTATTTTGATTGAAAAGAGAACTTTCTCGAAAACGTTCTGTCTTCACTCAAGCACATTAAATTGACGATATTGGCGGCAGTTCACGTTTGAATCATTGATTTGAAATAATATAGAGCGGGATGTATAACTGCCACGTGAAAGAATAAATTCGAGTAGATCGACTCGAGCGGATAATGTAGATCAAGCGGCAATGCTCACCAATCCTGACAGATCTTCTTTCCAACTTGCCAGATTTAACAGACACCGTATTGAACAAAGCATCGAGCAAGGCAGAGACACATTCGGGCTTAACAAAAAATAAGAGTCTTGAAAGAATGCTGGAGAAAGTACAGTTCGATTATGATTATAATGGTGAGTAGCAAATCATGAATTCGAAATTTTTGTCTCGAAAAAGCGATAAAGAGGTCAAAAATGAAAGCCCCCTATATTTTTGCGCCCATTTTAACCAATCAGAGAGCTTCATTCGACCAGCTTGCCAATCAGATTCCAGCAAAACTGTCCTACGAAATATCTTTTCGCATAGCTAACATAGCGACACCTCTATCTCATAACGCCAACACACAGTTTTAATATTGTCTTATTAATCTTTACCCTAACCCTAACTTAAAGTCCATTACTCTAACCCTTACCGTAAAAATCGCTTTTCTTTGAAGAACAAAACTCCTTGACCTGATTAAATTGAACTAAATTGAGCTAAATTCGTCTAATTACACGCATGTTCTATCAAAACGAACTTGTCTAAATCAACAGCTAGTTTTTACAAAAGTTAAATGTCTACTTTCTGTCTCAATTTGTAAAAATAACTTTGAATTTCAACGCGAATCAGCAGCGATTAACGAATCGAATAGTAGCTTCATCAATTATTAAAAATAGCGATAATAGCGACAGTTGCAGCGAGTATTTCCAAGGATCTGTCGATCATTTTACTCGATTTTTTAGAAAAAATGATCCGATCTGAGAAAAATGATGCTTTTCACTACGATAGCGAAGGTATTCCAAAAAATGAAGCCTTTTAAAATTAAGCTTTTCAGGTTTTTTTTAACATAGTTGCACCTAGCCGCCTTATTTTAAAGCTCATTTTGGCTCAAAAATTCTAAGCCTAGTCGATTTTTGGGCTAGCTCAGCTTGCTTAGCTCAGAAAAAAATCCTGAATTTCGGAAACTCTGAGCTAAGCTAGCTCAAAAATTGACTTAGCTTATCATTTTTCGAGCCAAAATAAGCTAAAAATTGAGACAGCTAAATTCAAAAATCCAGATCTAAACTGGACTAACCGATTTTTAATAGATCTCTTTGGTAACAAGATTCCGAAGGAGATTCTTGGAAGCTGGCAGCCGAATTAAACGTACCTGTCATTCGGGACCTGTTTCGAGAGGGAGTGCCCGGCGCATGACATGTTTCTAAATGAGCGCTCGAAAAAACAGCGACTTAGACAAATTTCATGTTAACCAATTCTATGATGCAATTTTTAGCATTCACGTTACTTTCCCATAAAAACCGATCAATAAATCCTTCCTATTTCAAAAATCATTTTCAGAGTACATGAACGAGATACAAAAATTCTTGGAAAATGGAAAAGAAATGAAAGTTTTCGATGCTAGCGATGGAGTCGAGTAAGTCCAGCTTCTTCGCTCAGGACAAAATCACTACTAAAAAATTCTAGCCCGCGCGAAGAAGAAGAAATGAAGCAATGGTTTCTGATTATCGGTTTTCTTGGTCTTCCAGCTTTCATCCTTTTCTTTTCGATTCTGTTTTTGATGTACGATTGGAACGGAGTGATTCAACACATTGGACGGAACATCTGCGGCTTAGAGACGAAAAATAGTTCGAAGAGTCATGGAAGTCGAATTACTGAAAGCTACAGTAACAAAGTTATCTGTAGACAGCCAGAAAGCGCGACTGTAAATAAATTTCTCACGCGAGTGTAAAAAAAAACGACAAATATGCCGCAAATTGAATGTTGAGGTTTTCTTGGTTCTGATTCGTCGACGGGAGAAAAGCAGTATTCTGATTGGCCGAAATTTGAAATTCGGGGTGGAGAAAAGGCTGTTTCATTCAAAGTAAAGAATTATTCTATAAAATCGATTTTTGAAAACGAAAAAAATTTAATAAGAAAAATTTCGCTTGTGATTAAGAAATAAGATTTTCAAAAATTAAATTTCCAAAATTGAACACGCTCCAAAAAGCGCGCTTCTAAAGCAGGTGAGGCAAAATCGCATGGCATAATCCGTAATGCTCTGCGAGATGGGTTAATTTAGCCAATCGAAGCTAAATCAAGCTTGAAACGATTGGAATAATTGTGTTACCGATCCTGTTTTGACGATTCTTTTGCTAGCGTGATTTTATTCCGCCGCGTTGAAAACACTCTTCCTGGAAGATTCAAATTCTTTTATGCAATTTTTTAGTTTCATTTTATTTTCTGGGTCTTAAAAGATTTTTCAACTAAGCTTTCCGTGTTCAGATACCGAGCAGAAGTTGAAGGCCTCATTTTGTTGTATTGAAGGCTTCAATTTGAAGCGCTGAATTTGGCGAGTATGGACCATACTGTATGGTAGATATCCGGTGGTGATCAGTGTTGTTGTACAAGCGTTATTAACATCGCCGCAGATAGCTTATCCCCATGTGGGACCGTGGTTGGCCAATCTTTTCGGTCGACACTGACTATGTCGTCGAATGTCATCGAATGTCGTCGAATGTCGTCGTTTCTTGCGAAAAAAAAAACGAAATTTCAAAAACAAGTATGTTCTAGAAAATAATCATCGAAATGTGTATATATATGTGTATATATATGTGCATATTCGATACTCTGCCAGGAGCCCTAAAAACGTCAAAAATGAGCAAAAAGTCATAAATTTGATAAGCACGCGACGGGCCAGAGGCCCTTACGCGCGCATTCTCTGGTAGAGAACTCATTGGGTTGGCGGGCCCAACTCTCGCTCTTGCTAAGACGCGTTTTTTTTTAGGTTGGGAACTAATAACTTTTGACTGGAACAAGATCAAGAGGAGGTTAAGGGCGCAAAATGATGCTCAGAAAAAATAAAAATTTCGCACCGCATTAGATTTTTCGATTTCGGTACCAGACTTCCGGTATTGAAATTCGGTACCAATTTATGTCGTGGTATCGGTACCAAACTAGTACCAAAAAAATCTCCAGAAAATTTCATGAAGACTGGTACCAAAATATCAGTACTTCGTTACTTCCGGCCTGAATGAGCGGACCTTGATTTACCTCAAAATTGCCCAAAATCAACAAAAAACCGTGATTTCAGAGCGCTGTCAAATGAAAATAAGTACTTCCTACAGTTAGCTTTTTGTACTAGTCTTCATGAAATTTTCTGGAGATTTTTTTGGTACTAGTTTGGTACCGATACCACGACATAAATTGGTACCGAATTTCAATACCGGAAGTCTGGTACCGAAATCGAAAAATCTAATGCGGTGCGAAATTTTTATTTTTTCTGAGCATCATTTTGCGCCCTTAACCTCCTCTTGATCTTGTTCCAGTCAAAAGTTATTAGTTCCCAACCTAAAAAAAACGCGTCTAAGACAACCGACTGTTTGGCTAGTTGCAATCTCTAGAACACTTTGTTTTCAAAAGTAGAGTTTTTCTTTTATTTTTTGAATTTTAGAAAAATGACGACATTCGACGACATTCGACGACATAGTCAGTGCGCCCCGATTATTTGCTTTTGAACGACTGACTAAATATAGGAACTGTTTAATCCTAAGACCTAAATCCATGTTTAATCTGGTCGATTTTGACTGAAAATCGAAAGTCTCTGAGCTCCATCACGATTCCCCTAAGACTAAGTGGCAGCGAAAGTTCAGAAGAAACAGCGATCAAGGTATTTTGAAGCACTTTCTCAATCAATATCATTTTAAGACGATAACACCTCCGAGCAAAACCTTCAACTCAGACAGCCTTCCTTTGAGCATCGCAAATTTACAATTGCATAAAGCCCGCGAGAAATAAAACATGAACATAAAAAACTTCAAGATTCTTGGATCAAGACAAAAATTGTTTATTTAGTAATCGGGTCGAGAAGAGGGAACAACAACAGCTTGTTCATCGAAATAACCTTCATAGTGAATTTCTATCGAAATCATCATTCCTTCGTCCTGAGGGGTCATTTGCTTGATTCTCAGTTCCGCCCAGCGACCGTTTTCATCGATGGTGATTTTTGAACGGCTTCGGAGAGATGCTGGAGCAGTGTCGTAGTAGGAAAATTGTTTTGACTTGAAAAACGAGCATTTTTTGATGAAAAACTGTTGAAGTTACCTGGCCGATGTAGTTGGCAAAAACTTCACTATTGATTCTCTAGTAAATCTTCAGCTCTCCGTTTCTGACAATTCCTTCGAGCGGAAACCAGCTCATTCTAGCGACGATTGTGTCTCCATTGCTGATGCGAATATCCAAGTCGGATTTCAGTGGGTTGCATTCTTCAGCTTGGCAAGGCTCGGATTTTGACTAGCAAGAGCTATCAACTATGAAAAGAGCAGATAAAAATGGAAATATTTGAAGGTCTGACTGCATGAGTTGTCCTTTATCGCCACTAGTAGAAACTGAAGATGCTCCACGAGCCATTTCGTCGATCTGGCAAGTGAGAGATTCAACTCCAGGTTGGCAGTTTCAACGTTTTTTTCTGAAAGGCGACAGGTGTTACTTTCAACCTTTTTTTTTATTCATGTACAGTTTTTTATGGAATTTGTGGACATCAAATTTGTGGACATTTTTTAGATTTTAAGGGGTTTTCTTGGGACACATTTAGAAAGAGAGGGTATCAAATTTGTGGACATTTTTGTCAATTGAAATCTTTGACTCCTAAATAAATGGTCAAACTTTAGTTATTGAAGCCAATTTTATATGCAAAGAGCTTTTTTTCGTCAATAATCTTAATTTTTGTTAAGATTTATGTCTTTAACTTCCTTCTTGTGTTCCGTTTTTTATTATTTTTTGAAAAAAATCATCAATTTTTGCTTCTCAAAAATAATTTAAGCAAGATTGTTGGGACATTTTTTTCGGGGCTCTGTATCAAATTTGTGGCTATTTTTCAGAAAACTTGCGGACAAAAAATGTCCACAAATTCTATAAATAACTGTACCATGGATCCAGTAACGGGATTGATGCAAGTGGCAAAAGAAGCAGACCACTCACCCCACTCGCCCCAAGAAGGTTGGAGACCGTTTTCGACACATTTTCTCTGATTCGCCCTAAATAATCATTAAAAAATGGTAGAAAAACGCCCTGCTCTTACGTCGCTGGATATTTTTTCTTACACTCGGTCACTAAATCAAACAACCTCTTTCCTCTCACTTCTTCATCTACAACTTCAAACGCCTCATTCGCATTACAGTACTCTTCGATGCACTCTCGCTCCCAGTTTCCATCTTTGGTTTCTTCGAAAAACTGCCAAGCTCGACGAGTTCTGTTCAAAAATGCATTTGCTTCTTGACTGTCAGCGAGAAATGGACTTGCTGAGACTCCTGCGAGAATCGTCGTGGAAATTTTCTATCAATCGATAAAGAAAAATTTATGAAAAAAGAAAACCTACCATAGTACTGATGAGAGAGGCGATTTTCTGGCAGTTAGATTTTCTGGCAGTTAGACTTTCTGGCAAAGGCGATTTTCTGGCACTGCCAGAAAATCAAATATGACAGAAAATCTAATTTCCAGAAAATCGCCTCTTTTAATTTTGAATATACAGTTATTGATTCTGGAAGGTAAAAAACGGAGAGAAGAAAAGATCGGAATTCATCTTCTGATTCTTCTGAGGATGATTTCAAAAAACTATTTGAGGGGCCGGAAATCGTAAAAAAACTGCAAGTGCAGTTTTCTTAAGCTCGTCAAGACGAGTCGAACGATGGGTCTAACTCCTGATAACTCGTAGGATTGACCGGTTTACCGGCTGGTTACCGGAAAATACGTTGTCACCGGCCGTTTTCGTTCTAGAAGTGATAGACTAATGTTTGACGCCGGAAATTGTTTCTTATAGTCAGTTCTCCTGCAGGGTAAAAAATGAAGGTTGTATGAATACTCTGAAGAGAGTTATCACTAAGAACAGTGCTTTTTACTAAAATTTTGTTGTTGCTGCACGTTCCTAATTTCTAGTACCATTTTCGCCAAAAATAGTATTTTAGTGATAACTCTCTTCGCCTTTGCCAGAAAGTCTAACTGCCAGAAAATCTAACTGACAGAAAATTGCCTCTCTCAGTACTGATCTCTAGTTAAAAGGCTCTGAAATGATTGATCTGTAAGAGGACCGAGCTCTGATTATTTGTTTTGTCTGAGTGGTAGTTCAGTAGAACTCCTTATTGACAACCTGAATATTATTTTCATGTTACCATTAATCTGTAAGAAATATTTCGGGAAAAATTTAAAGATATTGTCAATCAATTGAGCCGTTTTATTGAACGAAACTTTTGTAAATTTCTAGCATCTTCATGTACATCTGTAGCCAGCCCAATCATTCATGACCTTATTCCGGACATGAAGCTTGCATGAAGAAACTATTTAGAAACGTTTAAGCTAGTTAAAGCGGTAAGAAATATTCAAACTATGGTTAATAACTGTAACACACCCCCTTTCGTTTGACTCCTATCGATTTTTTATAACACTTGCAAATATCACAAAACAAATAGGACCATAGAAATAAGCATTTTTCGAAGAAAAAGGGAATGCTAAGCAACGGCTACTAGTTTTTCGTGTATAACATCTGCAAAAATAAGGAGCTCCTTAATTTGAAGAAATAGAGTAGCAATGCTCGAGGAAATTTTTTTTTCGGCGTTCTTTTGCGTCTGGCTTTTAAAATGGCTTTTTATCGACAATTCCGCCGATTTGAAAGAAGAAAACCTTGAAAAAAAAGAGATTGAGACATGGCTTGGTTCTTTCTTGCCGCAATTAAAGAGAACATCGACGCTGACGGAGAAGTGTCGATTGATTTCGACAATCGAAAAAATGGTCTTCGAGAAATTTAACAGTGCGTATCATTGGGAATTTTGTCTTTTTGAGGAAGATCGAGGATATATCTATCACCGAGATAGAACGAAAATAGAAAGTTTTAAAATAACTGCAGCTCAAAAAATGATTTTGGAAAATGATACGTCTCTCAAAAACAAATTTATCAGTCGATGGGATATTAAAGAAGAAACTGGTGAGTGGGAACTTAGAAGTTCTTTGAAAACTAAATTGATTTCAATGGGAGGAGAGGCGATTGTTTTTGGAGATAAGATCGGATGTTTAGAAACTGCGGTTCGGGTTCAAGTTTTTGACCCTTTTCTGTTTACGGATAATTTGGGTTTGGACTCAATTATGTGGAAAATAAACATTGCCGAAGGTTTGTTCTTTTTGATTTTTGGGCTTCTATTCAGTCTTAGATTTCGAACACGCGGAAAATAAAGAAGAAACAGAAAACCAAAATCAGATGCCATTTCATAAAAACGTTATCAAACATTTTGCAAATATCGAGTTATTCAATAAAAAGGACTCAAAAATGGAGGAATGCACTGGGTGGATAACAATCATGGAAAAGGCAGATACAGATTTGAGATTCCTGCTGAAAGAAGATCAACTTGATCTTGAGCAAAGAAAAAAAATTGGATGGGGCCTTCTAAAGGGATTTAATTATTTGTTGGATGTCGGAATAACTCACTTAGATTTAAAAATGGCAAACGTTATGCTTCTCGATGGAATCCCAAAAATCATTGATTTTGGCCTGGTCAACGAAACATCAGGAATAGAAGGCTACAGACAAATGGGCTACACCAGAAGAGGGTCCAAATATGCAAATAGCATACTTTGTAAGTGATTTTTTAAAACTCTAAAATGAGCACTATTTAGTCGCTGGCTCGCCTGCATTCACTTTTCAATTACAGCTGGCGAACGGAAATGGTTATAGAACAAACAATATTTGGTATTTTCTGTTTTGTAATTGGAGAACTTCTTGGACGCTTCTTTATAAGCCAATTTTGGAGGAAGAAAGAAAAAAGATTGACGAAATTGTCAAAGTAAGAAAAAAAAAACGATATTATTTTTTTCAAATTTCAGCGCTGTAATGCTGATCTCATTCACGAGAGCAAAAATCTTTTAATTCTTGATGAAATTACAAAAATCATCTGTCTGGACGAAGCTGACTCCTCATTTTGCTTAGACGATCCGAATCTGACCCAATCCTGCAACATGTCAAGTCTTAAAGAAAACATAACAAAATGCGTCAATTTAAACATGGAAAATTTGACCAAAAATATTCTTGACCAAAAAAGCAGTGATCTTTGCGTTCCGATATCTGTGACGACGCTTCTTCGGCACGCGATCAAGAAAGACCTTGATTTTGATGATTGGTTTTACAGACAGTACTCTTTCGAAAATATTCTCTCGACATTGACGATGATCGTTTATCCTAGAAGTATGTCTGGATTGAATTTGAATCCTACAAAGGATGAACAAGAAAAACAAACGAATCAAGTCGAAGTTCTTCTGCAGCGACTGTGTCATCAAACATATTTAATGGAAAGCGGCTGGGAAATTATCAGACGTCTTGGGAAAGAACGAGAAAAACGTCCAATTGTCTCGAGCTGCATTTACAGAAAAGGTAATAATCTCAAATATCATTTATTCATAAAATCTCTCATAGTTATTCTTCATCCGTTGTTTACTTTCTCCCGTCCGCTCACAGTCACCGGGGTCTACTTATTCGATGAAGAGTCGGAACCCTTTTTCCATCAAATGACAATCGACCGCATTGAGTCTGGAAACTTCATTCTCCAAAACACTCAATTTTCTCTTCAATCAGAGCTGCCCCTAGAAGCTCCCGTTGTCAAAATTCCCGTCTCCGACCCTTATTACATCTACGGCGGAGCATTTTTCGAGAATCTCGAAGAAAACGGCTCCGCGGTTCTTGTTGGTGATGGATATTCAATGGAAATTGTCAACGAAGAATTCGGAAACATGAAAATTGGAAGATGGTATCTTTTCCCCGAAGCCTTTTCTATAGAAATCTCTTTAGCTCTGTCCGAAGATGCTCTTGACTAAAATGTGCATTTATATTCATAAATTATCATCCATAATCAAAGAATTAAAGAATTTATTAAATTTATTTGGTCGTTGAAAAAGAATTCGTGATGCAAAATATTGACCGAAAAGGAAAAAGCTCTGATTATTTGTTTTATGTAAGTGAAAGAACAGTAGATAGATCACCCTAACTCTTAATATTCCATCATTGTCAAATCCTAGTCCTACAGTGGTGTGTGGAGTTGCTGCACCCCTAGACAGCGGGTAAAAGGTGCAGAAACGCAGCACTCACTTTTGCTACAATAGAAAAAGTGCGGGTCAGGGGTGAAGCAACTGAACACACCACTGTACTTCCTTAAGGGATACCCTCCCGATTTAAATAATATCATCGAGAGCTTTTATGTGATATATTTTTGGAATCTCCGTTGTATGGCGATCATTTTCATATATTATGTCGAAGGGAGTCCGTCACGTGGTAAGCCGTGACACAGCTTTGAAAATGGCTTATTTTAACGAAAAATTTTACTTAGAAAAAATTGATTTAATAAAATATCTAACCAGTAAATCAATCAGTAAAAATCAAAAATTCTACAATCCTTGACGGAATCACATGCCTGTACAAGAGATTGTAGATCAGGGATGGAGGAAGACAGTTTTTATTGATTTAGGGCTCTATCTAAGAGCAGAAAAAACTAGTTCGATTTTGAAAATGGCCCAAAATGGTGTTTTTCGCGAGTATCAATGTTTTCAGCCCGTTTTTTCAAGATGTTTCCCCTTACGAAAATAAATTTCTATACAAGAGTTTGTTCATTAAGAAACGGGCTTCAAAATGAGCATTCATACTGGTAAAAAGCTCAGCCCTAAAAAAAGTAGTTCGAAGTCAAAGTTGACGAAATCGGGGGTGGGGGGGATCCCTTAAGATCAGTTTCCAGAAAAAAAATTAAGAAGATATTGCTTTGAGCTGTTTTATTGCACGGTCTAATCATCTAGCAGTTCCATCGACGTCTGAGGCCAGACCAATCAGTGATGACCTTATTCCAGTTGCCAAAACCTCGAGAAGGCTTCTGACAGACGCTGTCGAAAATGGCCGCTCCGTTATAATATGTATTGGAGAAGGATTCAACGGGCATGAAGTTATCACCTTAAAATTTAGAAAGGAATTCCGGTTAGAACGTATCTACCTGAGGATTGTCTTTGGTCATTTGCGTTCTTTTGCATGTAAACCCATGAATAGTTGTTGTTTTTGGGCCCGTAAAGTATGGTTAAAGATATCTTTATCCAACGTAATTCACAGTTATCTCGCATGACATAATTCTTTACCAATGCCTATGTAACAAAACGCATGCCAGTAAAATTCCGGAATATCAATTCTATTCTTCTTAGAGTCTTCTTCGTCATTCATTACGTGAATTTTCCCGTGAGTTCCAACGATGATCCAAAATCTTCATTGTTGATTTCTTCTTCCATGAATTTCCTAACCATGCATTCAAGCTGATTCCAAGCCCCCTCATTGAACTCGCCGAGTTGTGGGCTGACATTGGTGAGAGTGAAGGTTGAGTTGGCTGCGTCTCTGACTTGGTTCAACAAAGCATTTGGCATGAGATGTCCCCAGTCTTCGTGCTGAGTATTTATCATAAGAATCAAAGAGATTTAAAAAAAGAACCTGAGGTTGCCATTTATCGCAGTCATTTGGACTCTCAACTTCGTCAAGATTGCAATAAAAAGACGTGTAAGATGGAGGAGTGTTAGTTCCGCAAAGACCCTCGCACATGTAGCTTCAGATTGACTTAAAAACACCATCCACCTTTGGTGGATTACCAGGTCTCGGATATGTTGGACCTTTCTTGGCTCGACTAATATTTTAGGATCAGGAATTTTCGAAGAGAATTTTACCGAATCTTGACGGCAGAGTACACCGGAAGGTTGGTATCGGTGTTGAAGAGGGTTGCAAAGTAATGATCTTTTCCAAAATTATTTTGACAGAGTCTTGTCTCTTGTTTTAAAAAGGAAGAAAAATATTTAATTCCAACATCCAAATAGCAAATAAAACACATTTTCTGACTGTCGTACCACTTTGAGCCCCGACAAGATTATTTTGAAGAGGCCATTCTGCACCAGGCCTGAAATAATCGGAACCACAGTTAACTGGGGTTTGAAAGCCAGTAGCTCTAGTAACTAGAGCCTCTAGTTACAGCAGGCATCCCACTTTCAACACAGTTGCTTTGACTCTCCCTTGTATTATGTTTTTCTTTACAGTCATTTACCAAATCGAACAATCATTCGCCTTGTTCCTCATCATCAACAACCTCATACGCCTCATTTGCGTTACAGTCCTCCTCAATGCACTCTCGCTCCCAATTACCGTCTTTGAGTTCTTCGATAAACCCCTCCTCGAGTTCTGCTCAAAAATGCATTTGCTTCTTGACTTTCAGCCAGAAAAGGGCTTGTCGCCAGAGTCCGAAATCTATGGGAGTAAAATTGGGAGCTCCCAAAGGGAGCTCCCTTTTTTGGGAGCACGGAGGGAGCAGGAGCACAGGTTTCCAGGGTTGGGAGTAAATTGGGAGCTCCCAATTTGCTCCCAATTTCAAAAAATTTTTTGAAAATCAACAATTTTTAGTCTAGAATCTTATCTGCGCACCGAAAAATGAGAAACGCTTACTTTATAGTATTTTTCTTAGAAGAGACGTTTTTTTGACTAGATATATTTATAAACGTCTCTTTTAAAATTTCATATAAATATTTAGCCAAAATCACATCTAGTTTGACTTTAATAATTTCAACAAAATGTATTTTTCTCAGATTATAAGCAAAATTATTAATTTAGATACCGTGTTTGCTCAGATTTTTATTAGAAGAGACGTTTTTTGATTCGATTTATTTTTTAAATGTCTCTTCTGAAATTTGATATAAATAAATAGCCTAAAATTGACCTAGATTTGGTTATATAATTTTAATAAGAAAACATTGAAGTCATTCACGAAATTCGCCTATTTGCCATTATGCCTATTTATACTTTCTTTATCAGCGCTATATAATAACCATACAACGATGGTGTTGCTACTTAGAGTTTACTTAATAAAATGAAAAACTTTCGAAAATTTTTGAAATTTGAAAAATGGGAGCAGGAGCACGGGTTTTTTACGAGGGAGCTCCCTTTTTTCAGGTCGAGGGAGCAGGGAGGGAGCGGGAGCACGGATTTTCTACCAGATTTCGAACTCTGCTTGCTGCTACGCTTGTCAGGATTGCGGTTGATAGTTTCTAAGGGCCCATAAAAGAAAAATAGCAAAGATGACCTTACCATGATCTTTTAAATAAGCTGAAATGGGAATAGATTCGGGTAAGCAGAGTCTGATTATTTGGTCGACACTGACTATCGTCGAATGTCGTCGAATGTCGTCGAATGTCGTCGTTTCTTGCGAAAAAAAAAACGAAATTTCAAAAACAAGTATGTTCTAGAAAATAATCATCGAAATGTGTTACATATTCGATACTCTGCCAGGAGCCCTAAAAACGTCAAAAATGAGCAAAAAGTCATAAATTTGATAAGCACGCGACGGGCCAGAGGCCCTTACGCGCGCATTCTCTGGTAGAGAACTCATTGGGTTGGCGGGGCCCAACTCTCGCTCTTGCTAAGACAACCGACTGTTTGGCTAGTTGCAATCTCTAGAACACTTTGTTTTCAAAAGTAGAGTTTTTCTTTTATTTTTTGAATTTTAGAAAAATGACGACATTCGACGACATTCGACGACATAGTCAGTGCGCCCCATCTTTTCCGTTTTATATATTGAGGGAGCGGGGTATTCGCCATGCACTTCCGATGCAAATACGGTAGTTTCGTAGAATCACTCACTCTTCTCCGTAGACGAGCAGTTTCTGATCGCTCCTGTTCGGATAATGATTTTAGAAGAAAGGGGCTGAAAAGTATGGAGAATGAGCTTCTTTCCAGCTGCTTGATAAAACGATAATTAGGGGGCTAATATGTTCTGAGGTCCTCCTTTTCTATTTTTCGTATTTCCCAAACGAACGATAAGACAAATACTGATAAGGTTCCAGACTAACTTTAGCCGTCAGATAGGGCTCCGCCTTGTTGCGCAATTTTAATGACTTCAAGGACAATTATTTCAATTTTGATTGGTCAAAAAAGGTCATTTAAAGTCAACCCTTTTATCCCCGTCAGTATAAGAATCAAATTAAACGCCTGATGTGTCAAAAAACGTGTCTTTTCAAAAGTCAAATTTAATTTTAAACTACCATCTGTGTTACGAGAATCAAAATAAAAAAAAAGAACGCAATCAAATTGCTTATTTAATCTTCGACCCCTTGCACGTCTTGAGATTGCCAGCCGCCGTTTATATACATATAATTACACGCAATTGATTCATAATGAAGAAGATTATCCGGAGACTTCGCACGTAATATCAAACAGGTGCGAACGTTTTCAAGGGCTGCTACGACGCATTATGCAATTTTTATGAAGATGATGAGTCGACTTGATTTTTCGAAGAAAAGTATAAAATATATTCTTTTCGCAAAGATGCATTTTTGAAGCTGGAAAATGAACAATGTTGTGTATTATCATCGATAAAGTAAATGTTAATCTTTGACACGAGGCAAAAGCCGAGATAAACCAGCTTCGATTCGATTTCAGTGGTTGCATTTATAATATTTTCAAAGAGGATTAGCCCCGCACGTTCAAAAATCAAACATGATTTGTTTTCAAAGCAAAAGCTTCACTCACTTTTTGTCTCGAAAATAAGACAACTTACAAACTCAAAGTAACAAACGATAAACAGCTGTATTTCGAGCACTTTATTTTTTTCTATTTAATTTGTTTAGCAAATGTCAAAGCGGGTAAGATCATGTTCTGAAATGCCAGTTAATTTTCAGGACGAATTTTGATAGTTGAAAATGCGTGGTTTTCCGGGTAAAATCGTTATATGCAAAAATAACATTTCCAGCAAGAAAATTGGCAACAATTTTCCCGCAACACTTCGTCGACTCTGCGTACCCTCCTTAATTGATCATTCGTGCTTTGAGCAAAGGTAAGGAGATAACACTTAGTAGATCAATTCTGGCGGCAGCATTCTAAAGCGGAAAGGATCATTTCAAAATTGGTCACGAAATCTGCTTCATAAGGATTTCTAAAAATCGCTTTTTCTTTTTTAATTCAACAAAAATCCAAAATACGGAAAACCGACTGATTACCCTGCTCGGGCAGCTTCTAAGTCGAATTTTATTTAGCCATCTGGTTGCTTTAATCCTGGCGCAATTATCGTAAACATTTCACTTTTAAAATTACATTAGAACTTCTCGGTATGCGCATTAGCAAGGCACGGGATCAATCCAACTTTGATTCAGCGCGCGCTTTAAAAATATGTTTTGGTGTCAAAAGAGCGCTTCTAAAAATCAGCTTCTGTATGTTCCGATCAAATGATTAATTTCATGAAAGAAACTGCTCTTTACATTGCTTGATTTTCCGCATAAAATTGAAGAAAGAAAAGAATTGAATATTTTCAATAAAAGATATTGAAGATCATCAATAAAAAAGTCGAGATATAAGAAGAACTGACAGCAGCTGAATTACAGGTATTTGTTCCTTTCGCGCATTTCAGATTATTTGTCTGAAATAAGTTAAGTGGATTATTTTTAAAGAAAAACCTGAATAAGATCAGAGTAAAACCGCGCAGATTGCTTGAAAAGAGTCGTTCTGTTTTCGCTAGAAAAGTCCGTCCAGATCAGACCGAAACGATCCCTGTAGCCATCTGACCATTCAAAATTGTCCATCAAAGACCAGGCCGTGTAAACTTGGACGTTAGCTCCGTCTTCCTCGATTGCTCGCCTCATTTGTCCTGAAAGAATATAGCTGCCTCGACATAATGCGAGTTATTTACCGATATAGCTAGTAAAGTGGTCGATTCTCCACTGATCATTGAGTTCTGGCTTCGAATCGGTGCCGTTCCCAGTTGATGAAATTCCATTTTCAGTGACAAAGATTGGTACAGCCGTGGAGTCGTATCGGTTATCGATGTACTTGAGTAGCCGTCTGAAACCCCATGGAACGGAAAAAAGCCATTCGGACCCAGCTTGAGGCCACTGAGGACAAGTATGGCCGGTCCAATCGACTCCTTTATTTTCTCAAGAGAATATTAATTTTCGAACTCGTCAATTTTAACCTACTTCCGTCCTTGTCTCCGTCAGTAACCAGTTGAGTCGTGTATGTGTTGAGTCCGAAGAAGTCGGCGGATCCTTTGTTTTGTTGTTTTTGCTCATCAGTAAAGCGCTGGAGAATCGAATCGTTGTATCGTTTCAATATAGATTCGGGATAATCGCCGGTCAGGTAGATTGGATCCGCCCAGAAACCAAGCTAGCAACAGTTAATGAGAGTCAAATTTTGTTTGCTTGCCTGAAAATCGATGAATCGTTGAGCAGCATCTTTATTTTCCTTCGAATTATTTAGCGGTTCATACCAATCTGAATTCATGGTGATACCGATACTGCCTTTTTGCTGCGCTCGAAATTCTTTGTCGTAAATATGATACGCCCTAAAGGAAAAACATCGCAATTTTGATTAGTTTTTTTTACTTGGCATGAGCAAGAACAGTATGATGTCGACAATCAAACTGCGACTTCAACCCCTTTGTTCCAGGAGCATTAACGCCAGTGCCATATCCAAAGTCGCAAATGACCTCGGCTTCGTTCAGTGTGATCCAATTCTTGACCCTGTCGCCGTATTCTCGAAAAACAAGGCGGACATAATCTGCGAAGTCATCCACAATTTTCGCACTTTCCCAACCGTTGTATTCATCTTGAAGAGCTTGCGGAAGATCCCAGTGGAAGAGCGTCACAAATGGCTCGATTCCAGCTGCATGAAGAAGATCGAGAAAGCTGTGGTAGTGATCGATTCCTCGTTTTTCATGATCTTTTGCGTCAGCACATTTGCCAGTTGGGCACAAACGAGCCCAAGAAATCGAAAAGCGGTATTCTTTGGCGCCGAGTTGTTTCAAATTTGAAATATGGCGCTCCATATTTTGGTACGATTTACAAGCCTCGTTTCCCGTTTCGTTGTTCCACACATTTCCAGGCGTTTGAGTGAACACATCCCAAATGTTTTTGCCCTTGCCATCTTTGTCCCAGGCGCCCTCGATTTGATACGCAGCAGTTGCTAGAGACCACTTTCACAAGATAAGCAAAAATAGAAAACATTACGAAATTCAATTTTAAGAATCCTTATATTTTCGAAATCTTTTATCTGTTTCTTGAAGCTTTCAGGAAATTTTCCTGCAGTGAATGAGTCTCTTGTCGCATTGGGTTGACATTTTATTGTTGAGCTTGGTAAATCATTCGGTCTTGAATTTGCAAAAACGCAAACGATTATTGAAAAATCAAAAAGCTTCATTTTGACAAAGAAGTGTTGAAAAACGCTTTTGCTGATCGTTTTTGAACTTGCGATTATGCAAGACGGTGTTTTCAATATTGACTTACAAAAATTATTTCATAGAAAAAGACAAAATGAGCAAAAATCAAATGATTTTGTTTAGTAAAGCTTTTTAATGTGACAATTTTTGAATTGTTTTCTGCAGACAGGACATTGTTTTGGATCAATAGTTCTCAGACAAGAAATGCAAAATGTATGGTAGCATTTGTTGATGCAGGATAGATGATGAAGATCTGTATCAAATGGCTCGAAGCAAATTTTGCAGGAGGACTCCTCAGTTTCACCCTGGTTTCTAGTAGCATCAGACAAAGATTGAAGCTTTCTTTCAATAGTTTCTAATTGTGTTTTCGTTTTATGATGCTCATGTTCCATCAAATTAATCATATGATGATTATTTAGTACAACATTTCGCACTTCACTTATTTTCTGATTAATCGCATCATGATCATTTCGAAGAGGTGCCGAAATAGAGTTGAGCTTTTTTTCCATCGTCTTTAGTTGATGCTGTGTTTTAATGCTAGCGGTTATGTCTTCTGACATCCGATGTGGATAAGACATCCTTTGACGAGATATTGCTTGAATATCCAACTTTACTCGATCTTCGAACATTTTTCTGTCTTCTCGGTACATTTCGAACAAATATAAAGCACAGCAAATAGTTCCTACTAGTAAGAACTTTTCTGTGAACCCCTAAATGAGAATTAACAAAGTTATAAAGCTATCAAACTTACAAAATTAGTATAAATGACTTCTCTCGGTCCCCAAAACATCTTTGAAGAAGAAAAGCTAGAGTCCGAAATTTCTCAGGAAAATAAAAAAATGGGGCTCTGCATGAAAGACAAATATTTGAGATGACTGCATGAAAAGATCATTATTACTTTTTCGGGGAAATAAAAAAATTAAAAAAAAATGTCATTGAGCTCAATTTTTTTTCAAAACGGCGGATTTTCAAACTACGCTTTCATTTTGACTTCTATCGAAAAAAGCGGAAATAACGTTTATTGTCGTTTGGGAAGCGCAGGGGTTTAGAAAATCCGTCTGATTTGACGCGCGAAAGGAAATCAGATTCAAATTGGATCTTGACTTTCTGATAGCGCAAATTTAGAAGCGCAAGTTCTCCTTATGAAATTTTAATTACTTTTATCATCTCGACGGAGTGTCACATTTTTGCATATCAACGTGCAGATACTCCGCATGCAGCTACAAGAGTAACCGGTTTAAGATGGCGGGCAGAATCAATCGGGATTTTCTGGGGGTCCAAAGTCAACATTGCCTAAAATGAAATTGCGAAAGAGAAGAAAAAAAGTGAGGGAATTGATAATCAGCTCAGGCTCCAAGAAACCTCAAGAAAGACCACCTTCGGATGCGATTAAGGGCTGACTGGACGTAATCCCGGAGGCTTGAGAAGATCGATTTTCGGAATCGGACGCGTTGAAAAAATATTCAAATATTCAGAAAACGTAAGATTTCTCCAACTTTTTACCGAGAGCGCCGCCTTAAAATCGAAATAAATTCCGCATTTTCTCGCCAAAACAAACAGTCGGTTTCGAGGACCACCGCGTTGTTGATTCGCAGCAATGTCAAAATCAGAACTTTCTAAAATACTAACAAGCCGATCCATTGTTTAATAAAATGACAAAGTTGAAGTTCAACCGATCTAAAATCTTGGCTCGGCAACCTCTGTTGAAAACCTGAGTTAGGATTTTATAGAGCGCGGTTCTTTCATTAACGCTTCTTAAAATCCTGAATCAGAAATTCAACACCGGTTGCTGACTCAGGTTTTCTACACAGGCCGTCGAGCTTAGAGTAAAATTGAAGCTGCTACTTTTTAGAATTTTTAAGAACGTGTTCCAGAAATAGTCGAGTAAGATTGGCATCTGAAAAGCAGCTTTAAGGAGCCGGCTAAAAATCACTTCCGTGATCGTCTCGGCCACTTTGCTCTTCCGAGTCTCAAGAACTGCGATTCGAGTTTTCCACTTTCCGGAGCGTTTTCGATTTCAGAAAAAAACAAATCGGGAATCAAGCAGTTACAAATTTAATCGACCTCCGCATGCTAATTTCAAAACCAGTAGCCTCTGCCCAGTAACAAGCTGAATTACTGTACTTACTAAAAATTATTCCCTGCGCTTTGTTTTGAGTAAAGAAAACATTGAGCCTGTCAAATGAATAAATGTAATTCAGACAGAATAGTTATTGATCATTTTATTTAATTCAAGGGTTGCAGGAGTTTTCGTCAACTGTGAAATTGGCAAAATTTTAACGGATTATAAATGATTTTTCTTTGAAGTCTCAATTCATCAGATTCATATTTCCAGAGAGCGCACGTGCTTCATTTTATAAATTTTCTCTTTATTCAACTGAAAGGTTTACGCTTGAACGGCGGACTCATAAAATTGAAGATAGCGTATCATATCATCGGATCGGCAACGCCGACATTTAGTTCTAAATCTGCAAGGAACAACGAATGTTGAACTTTTTGTTGCCTCGGGTTATTCTTCTGAGTCTCGGAGACTTGGGAAAATTTTGATTTATTTTTAATTCTTTCCTTCTTTATTCTTGAATAGAAATTAATCGGTTGAACTTTGAACTGGGCAAGAGCGAGGCAATTATTTAGATTAACGTCTGGGTCCTGGACTCAAGTCTATTCATTCCAAATTAAAATTTGTAGAATCGAGTTCATCCCTGATTGAAAAAAAAGCGCGCTGCATATTTTCTGCATTTTGCGAGCTTGACAAGTAGAGAAATCGATTGGGCAGCTTTTGGGAATAAATTGGACACTCTGAACAGAAAATTTTTAATTCAATTTCCTCCCATCACTCCAGTCGACATAATAAGGGAAGTGTGCAGATCGATTCGACTGAATTATGCAGCTGCACGCGTTATAATGCCCATATTCTATTAATAAACAGTACGATTTCGCGAGAACTCAAAAGTAGAAAAAGTATCAGGTATGTTGGTAAAGGTATTATTTTTTTGTAATTAGGGCTAGGGTTAGCATAAACTCAAGGTCATAAGATTGCTAAAAGTAAGGGTGAGGGTTAGAGTTCGGATTTAGGTAAGGGTTAGGGTAAGGGTTCTTGAAAGCAAAAAAATAATGTTTTTTTTTTATTTTTTTTTAAAGCGCAATATTAACAAAATTAGTGATTTAAAACTTAAAATTTTTTGAAGGAAAAGATAAATTTCTCTGTCCAGGATTCGTTGATATTTTTAATGTTTTTTAGGTTTTTAATGAATTTTTTATATGAAGACTTTTTATGGATGGTCATATATTATGTTTTGTCGATATTGACAGACCTAAAGACTCCTTATTGTTGATTCTTTACAGTAGTATCTGAGTCTAAAAGTAAAAACCCGCAATAGATAAAAAATGCCTGCTTATGCAAATCCTTATTTCAGAGAAAAATATAGTCCTTTTCGTTTTTTGCTTTAATAGAGCGCTTTTGATAATGTGATAAAAAATGGAACGAGCTAATTTAAATTGATTTGGACAAAAACAAAATTCGCCCCGAATAAGCAACAAACGTAATTACAACACATGTTGCTGTGTTCAAAACACCATCAGCTCCTTTCTTTTTCTTTTAGAAAGAAACCGGCAGGAGGCGAAAAATAAGCAAGGGAGAAGGAGAAAAGAAGCTGAATGACCGCTCACGTGAGAAAATCCTCGCTTGTGTTTAGTAGCACGACACCGAGTCCTATTCAGACCATTATCGTTTCCCATGCCAGTTGCAGGGATGATCTCTGTATCAACGTAAGTATGGACTAACAAAATTGCGGGAAAATATCGAAAACGGAGGAATTTCCGAGCAGCTGGTGATATTAATTCTTAGTCGTAAATGCTTTCGAAACTCTTGATTAAAATAAGGGTCTCTTATTTTAAGGGGGTAGAACCCATGAAATCGGTTTTGCTTCGATTTTGACGAGAAAGCTCTTCAAAATTCAACTTTTAAATTTTTTTCTTTGGCTCGATTTTTGACATTCGAAAAAGAACCAAAGAAAAGAAAGCTTTTCTTCGTGCATTTTCCTATTTTGTTCGGTGATTTCGTGGAGTAAACCGCGCTTCGCCGAAGTTGCTTTTATTAATCACAAGCGGAGATTTGGTCAAATCCCCGACGGAGGAACCGTTGGAAGCTCCGCAAATTTAACTGTCGCTTTCCGTTGGCTTAATTCTCTCCGTCGCCTGTATTTATTCGCGTCAGCTTTAAAACCCTTTTCTTGTTTTTCTTCTAGTGTTTTCATTTGGTGCAGATTTTAAAGAAAAAAGTAGAAGAATGTCTTCTACTGCTCAAAAGGCCCGCTTGCTGCTCATATTTTCTTGATCAGGTACTGTAACAGTAAAAATCATTGAGCGAAATTTTGTCATTAATCCTCACGAAAACAGACGCTTTTGTTGATAAACACAAGATCAGTTATTCGCTGAAAAAGACGTTGTTCAAGATTCAACGTTTTTTCATAAATATTTTTGCCATCTGATTCGGATTTTTTAGGGAAAATAATAATATATTTCAGTACCTGAACGATCCGCCTTTATGCTTATTTACAGGGAAGAGGGTTTAAAATTTTGACTTGAAGATTTTATTTTGCTGATTCTGA